TATTCATAAACGATCTTCCCGACATATTACCTGACGAGACTTTGGCAGCTTTGTATGCAGACGACACCAAACTGTACAAGTCCATCACATCAGTAGGTGACTGTGAAAGTTTGCAACAAGCTTTAACAGACCTTGACTGCTGGAGCCGTGACAACAACCTCAATTTTAACGAGTCGAAGTGTAAGGTGTTGACAATTACAAGGAAAAAAACCCCGCTGACGTACGCATATCACATGGGCTCAAAGGAACTTACTCGTGTGGATAAGGAAAAAGATCTTGGTGTCTTCATAAATTACAACCTCTCATGGGACGATCATGTTCATACCATCACCGCCAAAGGGAACAAGATGCTTGGCATGCTGAAAAGAACTCGCCCTCTACTGACTAACACCGCAGTGAGGCGGACGCTGTATTTGTCACTCGTGAAGTCCCAGATAAGTTACGCCACCGAAGTCTGGTCTCCTCCTACCATCAAAATGAGATCCACAGTGGAACGTATACAAAGGAGAGCCACCTCTTGGATACTGCAAGCCAAGCGCGGAGAAATTGCATATAAGCAGCGGCTGATAACCCTTGGCTTATTACCCCTGTGCTACGAGAGAGAAATAAAAGACTTAGTGTTCTTTTTTAAGGCACTGTATGGACATATTGATCTTGACGTGCATAGTTTCGTTTCATTTGTCAACAATGGCCGAACACGACTTATTCGAAATCCTTCTCTCACACTCAAAATCCCTTTCTGTAAATCCAAAACATTTCAATCCTCATATTTCAACCGGCTTGTCAAGTTATGGAACCACGTCTGCAAAATTCTTCCCTCTACCACCTTTGCCAGCCTCTCCATCTTCAAAAGATCTCTTAAAGCCACTTACGCTAACTTGCTTACGGCAACATTTGACGTGGACATGCCATGCACCTGGACACTGGTGCGGGACTGCCCCTGCCACAGATCTTAAGTATAGTTTTGATAGACGGTTCCTCTTATTGTGTTCACTGAATGCAACCACATTATGCTTGTGAGTTTGAAATTATTATGCTAACACATCCGTGAAGCATTCATTATGCTTGTGAGTTTGAAATTATTATGCCTGCAATACATCCGTGAAGCATTCATTATGCTTGTGAGTTTGAAATTATTTTGCTAACACATCCGTGAAGCATTCAGGTGGTTGCGTTCATGGTCATACTAATAGGGGGAAGCGGCTTTTATATATTTGTATTTTATGTATGTGTGTATTTATATTTATGTACGTATTCGCTGCTTCGGGGTTTGCACCTTGCATGGGACTTCGCGTCTCGTTTGTGCTTATGCCATTTGAGTTCATATTAATTATACATAATATTAATTATATATAATTATATATAATATTAATTATATAATGTAATGTTCTCAATAAATATAATATACTATAAGACATGCAGTATTTATCATAATTTGTCACCATGCCACAAATTCTGATAAAAAATTCAGTATATCATTTTCCCGTAAAAAATTTCGTTGACATTCATGCATATATATAGGCTTAAATTGCAAGGCGTTGAGTATTTGTACCGAAATTTTTTCAAAGAATATATTCCTGAAAGAAGTACCCAAAATCTCATCTAATCCTATGTCAGAGTTATACAGAACAGCTGAAACTGTCGCTGTATGACCTGAATATAGGTCATTTCGTGAAACGTTTAGCCATATAAGAACTCTCTTTAGTTCTTGAGTGCCATTAATTAATTAATCGAGTTCCTATAATTGCATTTTACAGTTCATGACAGTTCAGTAAAATTGTTGTAGTGGCCGGAAAATAAACTTGACTTTGAATAAATATCACTTTTCAAATACTTAATGAAATAACAGAACGCCACAGGGGGCGTGAGTTTATTTTTGTTCAAAAACATGAAAATGAAAATTCATGATTGTGCAAACATATAGTGTTTCAATATATAATTATAATACATTCGTACTTTTCATGCATATTAATTATTATATACACGTAGATTCGTACATCATAATGTTGCATAGGGTTAGAGGTTTGCTTGGAAAGTACAGTCTTCGTTATTTTGTTGCAACACTGAGCAGGATATTGTTGGAACAACAATGCTCAAATATATAGCTGTCAATTTACAGACAACTGTATTCAATTGTGTCACAATTCACAATGCTTAAGGCACAAGGATAATAACTTGCGTATTCTCAGCTTGTGTTCTCGGCATCGTCATGTCAAGGTCAAAGACTTTTATCGCTCTGATATATCATGCACAACAACACAGAGCTTTCAAAACAAGCCGGTGGCCGGCGGAGCTTCGGCGTGTGTTATCGGGTCTACTGCCAGCTATTTTCTTTAAACTAGCCTATATACTGTGCTTTCATCTCGCTTTTTTCGCGGTTTGTGTCTACTTTTAAAAGTACCCCTGTTTTCGGCATAGCTTATTGTCACGATTTTGCATCCTTTGGGTACATAAAAATGTATTAAATACGCTGTAGTTCCATACATGGGCGTTACCTCGGCGACTAGGCATTGGTTTGCATTGGTTATGTATAATGTATATGTATGTGTGGCAATAATTCGATGCTTGATTCTATTTATCACGATAAAATTTCTAAAACATATAGTAGTTTTAACATGGTGCCCAAAACGTTGTGCATGGTAATGTACAAAACACAATATACAAAATGCTAATTATTAAAACATACACTACCAAGACATGTAGCTATATGACAGAGTGTGCTCAAACTTAATGATCTTTTTCGTAATATTAAAAAGTGTGAACAGCTTGTGATTCATGATTTCAATTCCAGGTTAATTCGATATTGTTTCTTGAATCTCTATATTGCAACTGTCTTGGACCGAATGACGAACGCAAAACCTCTAGATCGAATTCTGATTTTTCCTCCAATTCTATATCTAAGCTTGTTACCATGCATCAACTAATTCGGTCGTATCCCGCATCATACCGACGATGCGATCACACAGAGTTAAGCTGTGAATAGATGAGATTCCCATCGTTTTACCCAAACATGCATACCACATCACTACGGCTTATAGGCTTGAGTGATTCATGCACAGCCTGCTCTGTACTGTATAAGTTGACCCCATTATACAACAACAAATTCGATACCTTGTCTTTGCTCTTCCAAGTTTTTTAGTACAAAATTGCTCGATCCATGCTAGTGGGCGTCTTGACCTTTACAGTTCTGCCGAAAGAGATATATTTATTTTTTAATGAACTTGGCATAGTCTTACTACATGTAAACAAACAACAAAACCATATAGACAAATGATTAAGAATGTTCGATTCGTAGATTCAGAGTCTATACTCAAGAGAAAAGTTACTGGCTGTTTGTATGTGATATTAAATTATAAACTGTCTTAATTATGTAACGTTTAGTAGTAAATATTGTCTGATCGAAGATAGGTGGATCAGCTTGTTTAGTTAACACATATAATCCGAACAACATGGGCATGAGTCTTGACTGGCCTCACAGTTTCATTCTTAGCAAATTTACCTAGGAATCTAATATATATGAATTTATTTATATAGTAATACCAATACTAGTACTGGTAAACTGAGTACTGTATAAATAACGGCATTAGTTATAGCTATTTTGTCTCTTACTTGATGGATTTAACTTTTTAATCTTTCCAAAGGAATTCGTCTGTTCTGCTTAAGTCCAGTTCGTTCAAACAGCGAGCTGGCTAGAAGTTGAACTCGATTGCCAGCAAATTTATACAATCCTTCATATACTCATTATTAACCTATTAAAGCGTACAATTTTGTTAAAATGATACATATGCACGTAGGTTGTCCGTCATCGCTTGGTTTATAATTCAAGTTATCAGATTGCATCGAAAAACGATCTATGTTGTTATAGTTAAAATTTACATCAAACTAGAATTGCACAGCGTGGCATTTCCGTGTTTTTCTCTTGGAACCGCGTGATAATAACAAGGAACTGAACAGTGCCATGTCTGTATATGCCTAATCAGCATGGGAATCTTACATTGAACTGTCATCAGTTCTATTTCATGTACCATTTTGGTAACTGCGCATTTGTATTATGAATCATATAATCCAATGAATTCCATAGAAACGTTCCGCCTTTAGTCTTATTTTGTATTTTTTTAAACGGAAATTAAGGAGCATTAACTGCAATTATACGTAATAATTAAATAACTTATTTAAAGTGGATTATATGACGGTGGTTACAATCACAGTTTCGGCAAAACAGCAAAACGTTGATTTGTATTTTCTAGCATTGTTGCACTTGTTAATTTACAGCACTGATCCATTAGGTTGCCTTGGTTTGTGTATGGACTACCTATATAAAAGACTAGAAACACCTAGACGTTCCGAGCGAATGCTTTTCAATGTCAGGAAGAGTTAATAGCTGGCTAGCTTAACCGCTTAGCACATTAAAGCGCCTGGGACGAGGCTGGGCTAGCTGTGCTCTACTGAGGCGCGCCCATCAGAGAGGCCTGGGGTCGAGATTTACCGGAACAGCATGGAATACCTGTATTTTAAGAAGTATTACATGAAGTTTCCAGGATGAATCAGAAAATGCAATGTTAACCAATTTGTGCTGTGATAAATGAGATTTTGGCAGTAATGATTTTTTCTTTAATATTTTGAAAACGAATGGAAATCAAGCTCTATATAGGCCAAAAATACGAAATGTTTCTGGGAGAGGACCTCCAGAGCCCCTAGACGATGCAGGTAACTACATTTAAATAAGTGGCTAGTTTTTTATTCCTCCCTGTTTAGATTAATATGATTCAAGAGTTGGCTGGAGCCAGTTTTGAGGTAGTTCAGTACTCCATACAGCAACTGATAATCTACATGCCGCTATAATTGATAAGGCTTTTTTCCAACTACGTTCAAACACTAGTTTTAACATGGATGTCCAGTATAATCTCCTTCGCGGGCAACTGGGTGGTAAACGGCAGAATTACGCAATATTTTACAGCGCAAGAGGGCAGTATTGCTGTAACAGGGGCCTGCAATTCCCCTTTTAAAAGAGTGTTAAGAGTGTTGCCTACGGCAGAGGCTAGATGATGTCTAGCGTAAATGCTTTTCTCCACTCATCGCAAAAACCAACTCACAAGGGAGTACTTTTATCCCGATGCGTTTTATTTTAATTAGATGCAAATATACTCCATAGTTAGTTTTTGCGATGAGTGGAAAAGAGCCTCAGTAGCGCGTCAATGGCGTTTTTTCAACTTACGTAGGGTGTACTCCAGGCAACTGATTACTCACGTGACTCCAATAGCCTTTATAGATTCTTATTGTAACACGTATACACTTTGATCTTTACCGATCTTCATATAGAAAATTAACGGTGACAGTTGTCTAGCCACAAACAAACATTTATACTCCTCGACTTGCTCGTAGTTCTCGCCCAAACCATGGCAGCGTATTGTCTAGTGAATACTACAGGTACCTACTCCAGACGGACGTTTTTATAATCTATTATGATATACACAGCAGTTTCTTAATTGAAAGTAGTTTGCGCTCATTAACATTCACAGCTATATGCTATATATATATATGATACTCGTACTTCGACAAATTAAAAGGCGCAATTGTTTTAATCATAATAATCAGCGAAGATAATTTATTATTCAACCGTAAGGTGGAGACATGTTGACTAGATCCGGTCAGCCGTTATTAAAAATCTAAGAAGATTTTTGGAACAACAGAAATTGTTTATTTATTTTGCTCTTACACTTGTCGTGGGCCTACGTGTTGGTTTTTAAAATCGCCGCGCGGATAGTATTAAAGTTGGGCCTTTCTCATGAATTTTTTATTAACTTTAATAACTTCTTGCAGCGGCACAGCTGCGCGTATTTTAAACAATAAATTTCCCCCACAGAACGGAAATTTAGTCGACAATACAGTTGTTGTATTACTATACGGGCAATTTAAAAAAACAACAAATGAACTGTTTTGATGTTTTTGTGGCCTCTTCGAGCTCGATACCAAATTGTATCTGTTTTGTGAATAGCTAATTGTTCGTAGAAGTATAATGACATTTTAGTGAAATTCTCGCCACATTATGAAGTGATGTGTTGTTGTGTAATCGGCAAAAATTCAGTTAAACGCATATGCCAGTGACCACTACTTTCTATAATCTAAGTTCTATTGCAAAACACAAGTTATTTTGTGTAAGGGGAAAATCGCGTAGAGCCACTGGTTTACCAGCAATGTTGCCAAAAAGCGGACTGTAGTTTTTTTTTAAGTCCTCTGTGGCGAAGCCATACTACTCTTGCAAATATATGGATGATGCTAAATAGAGATTAGTTCTAGTGTTATTCAACGTTTAGTTCTTAATTCGGATAAGCTCAGGATTATAGTTAGTAATCGTGAACTGTCTAAGCCTTTTTATATTGTAGTATATGGTACCATATGAGCTCATCCAAGCGAAGGTCCGGCTTACTCGAAATGGGGATAGACGCATAATATATTAGTTTAACTTTCATGCAATGCAATTGTCAAGGATAATTTAACTGCATTTATACTATACTGTTTTAGTATTTTTGCCCAAGTGAATATAACAAATCCTACAAGTTGATTGGTCAAATTTGACTATAGGTGAATATAACAAAACCGAAATTTGCACAATGGCGGCTAGCCGTTTGTGGAAGTTACTGATAAACTGAAATAACGACGAAATGAAAATAAATTCAGTCCCAAAAAACAAGAAAGACTTGTGTAAAATACTAAAACAATTATTCGCTATGTACCCTTGTGCATAACTTTGTGAGCTATATAGTATATAACACAGTTTTTTGAGCAGATATCAATTCCGAGATATCGTCAACGTAATTTACAAATTCGGATTCAAGTGCCTTTTAACATACTAAAACGTTTAATTGATATGTTGGAATATAAAATATAGCCAGGTGATAAACTTCACGGGCGTTGTTTTTTTCTATTGAGCTGAAGTGTTTTACAAGTCTACTACAATATTTGTCTGTATATGCTATTTTAATAACACTTATAAGTCGACAGTTATAAAGTATATTACTATAAATAAATGCAATTTATGCGAATGTCGGCGGTAAACTCTCATATGCAGTCTGCTGATCATGTGCGCAAAGTTTCTTTTAAATATCGCTGTCTACGTGACACTTATAGTCCACTTTCTATCATTAAAGTAATCAGTTATTTCTTGCCGAAGACAATTATTTCTTGCAAGACCGGTATAGCTGACAACTGCATCCATGCATGAAGTACAGACATATACCTGACAATGTCATTGTGCCGATGCTTAGTTTTTGTGCCGAACTGGTGATCATATGTCAAGGCTCTTGTTAAATGATGTATTGTTATCTAGTTTATCGATTGATGATGCCGAATTTTTAGTCCAGCAGCTCAACTACTACTGCACATACATGAGACATCGTTCTACTATATGATATTCGTAATCTTCTTGTATTTTTAGAACTGATTAAATGTGACAAAGTTAATTCTTACAAATATTGCCCGTCTGTAGTTTAGTCTTCAAATGAACTGGCAAAGTTCATATATATATGCATGATGCATTATGTATGCTGTGCAATATTACTTCCCATGCGTGGCCATGTTTAAGTTTTACTGCTGATAACGGACTATAGAACGGTTAAATTATAGAATAACGGTTTATACTCAGTCAAAAATGCTGAACTCTTGTATTTATAGCAAAGGCGATAGTATTGATTCACGAACGTTTCCTTCGATTGAGTTCGATATGATGCCACTTGTTGAAAGGTAGCTGAACTGTTAGACAAAACATAAATCGGCTGATAAATGTCAAATAATTTTGTAAACATACCTTGCTATTGTCTTGGTAAAAAATCTTCTGATACGGTCAATATATCCTTTCAAGATTTCAGTTTCATAGACACAATAAAATGGAGTTTAGCCTTTTGAGACCCCGAAGCAGTTTATAGACTCGATAGCGTAATGAAAGCCTTCTTGATATCTTTGAGCATAATTTTAGCGCCACTGACACAACACACGTTTACGCGACATGAAATATGCAAATTTTTTATTACAACTTTCATGCTTCCCACGTCGTGAGTAAATTTGTTGTACTTTCTAAATATTTATCATGACCGCACGCGTATCTGCGATACTGAATCAACTAATAATAAGTCGGCTTGTGAGAATCATTACGAGAGTCAACAATTTCACTGACAGTTTGTTTATATCAGTGCGTCGCCGATCTGCAAAAGTTCTCACAATTTGCTTTATATACATATTGACAGTTTGCGTTAATTATTTTTAGTGGAAGATAAGAAGCTTATGTCGTAGGTACTACGTATATGCAGGGCCTATATGTACCTTATTTGTTGAGGAAGATATGGATAACATTTGTTTTTTCATGGAATTGTAGAGTTTAATATCGAAACACGGATTAAGGCGTTTCTTGATGACATGATCCTATCCATCATAAATTGTAATGCAAATCAACATGGTACAATATTTGCCATTCGGATAGCGTTTTTAAAACTTTTAATAATTGATCCGCGTACCGTAATTAATTAAAGGCATGATATTTTTAATTTGTTTTAATCTGCATGTTATTCTCGTGAAAAGCATGAGTGATGAAAACAGCTCATAGTCCATTCATTGCTTTACTCTTATATACTGAGTTGAAACCTTATGCGAACTCTCGCTTGCCTATTCTCGTCAGCTCTTATCCTCGATTGACCAAGGCATTAGCTTCGAATTAGGATAGAATTATAAGATAGAATTATAGATCGAACTTTCTCATTCATTCGAATTGTTCGTTATTCATGCTAATGAGCGGCCATATTGGAAAACCGAAGCATTGCCGAGTAGTTTACGATATTATCCGATGGTAAATCTGCACATGCGCATTAAAGCACGTCCAAAATATTCAAGATGGCGGATTTTTAAGGAGTGATATTTTTTATTTCCATCCTACAAGTAAACAGAGGAACAATTTTGAGATTATTTTGTGAAAAAATATTCATAATTGGTTATATTTTATAATCTTTTACCAGTTATGCTGATGCGAAGGTTGGTTTTAGCCTCAAATTGCCTTTTAAGCAAACAGATTTCGAATATTTTACATCGTCGTGGAAAGTCGATTCTATTGTGCAGTGTAAATGGTCTTAACGCATATTTTTATACTGGAAAAGTTGCTGAATCGCCCATTGAATATCATTTCTTGTGTCAAAATAATATCAAGTTAAAAGCGATGCCCATAACAGCACTGAATAAACAAAGGAATATGTTGAACAGATTTTATTCTGGCGACCCAAGCATAACATTTCTGTCTGGTGGTAAATCGCAGTACTTTGAAGACAATGCGGTATATGATGAGGATAAGTTGTTAAATAAAGTTATTGACCAGTTAAAAGAGGATAATGGCAGTGATATTTCTGTAATTGAGACGTCCGAAGAAAGAAGAAAATATGCCGATTATGTGGTTGTTGTTAGTGGCAGATCAACTAGACATCTGAAGGCAATGACAAATCATATTCATCAACAGGTATTAATCTCTTCATGACAGCAAAAGACACTACTGGTATTGCTACAGTGCATACAAAACTTTGCTTGAGGTTGATTGACATTGTGATTGAATTAAGTCATGGTTAAATCATTGTCAATCTCTGCATCATAACATTGTCTTATGTACAGTGTTTTTGGGTGTCAACACACCCTGTATGTCTGCCACATATTCTATAAACTTTACACATATTTACATAATTCTTAGTCCAAGAAAGATTTTCCTGAAAAGCATGTAATTGTTACTGGATTGGATTCAGATGATTGGATGATAGTAGATTTTGGTAAGTACTTACATTTTGTACAGTACACCACATGTTTGCAGTACATACTGCTTGACCTGCATCCTTTTGCATTTTAAGTATTTCTTTGACAAAAATAGTAGTTTCAGTATGTCCATATATACAATGTTCGTGTGCTCAAAGTACTGTTACAAATAATGTACATGTGATTCTAATTTTCAATTATATTCACAGGTTCCATTGTAATCCACCTGTTTCTGCCAGAAATTCGTGAAAAATATGAACTTGAAAAACTTTGGTCATTGGGACCTGAACATGATGAACAGTATCAAGAAATGCTGGAAGATGATCGCTATGCAGAGATGGTTAAAAATGCCAAACTGCAGGACTTCTTTGTACATGAGGAGTCAAGTAAATAGGCCAAGAATGTTGTAAAAGTATTCACTAGATTAGTTTTTGTTGATTTCCTGAATGACGATGGTGTGATCCATCTGTCATCAATTGATACAATACCAGTTCTAAGTACTTTTATGGTGCATGTTTGTTGGTCTTCGCAAATGGAGAAGAATGGTGACTTGCTTTCTGGTCAGTTACTGTAAATTGTTAGAATTACCCAATGAGCATATTGTGCAAGGTAAAATTAATAGGTCTGCAGTAGAAACTAAAGTTATATCACACTATAGGGAACTTGTGAGTAGTGTCTTGCTCGAAGAGAAATATATTCGCACATGAAACGTGAGGGTGTTATACCAAAACCCAATATAGTAAATGCCAGTTTGTAATTGAGTATCATTATAAATTATACACAGAACAATAATTGAACTTTATAAATTTCTATGCTGTTATCTTTGTGACCAATGAATCTAAGAGCTATAGTCTATAGACACCTCCCAAATTAACTGGCTGTGGCAATGGAAACTACTTACGTAACCAGCGGTGTAACTTTACTTTTTTGACCACTTGCCGACCACTTGCCCTCAGGGCAAGTTGGACATGAAAATTAGTTGCCCTGAATAAAATTCACTTGCCATCAGACAATGGCCACTGGGGTACCTAGGTAGAGGGTATAAATTAGAGGGACAAACGTGTCGACCCGTTCTTCCACTGCTCTATATGGCTATGTTATATACTGCCTCAGATCTAGCTTTGGCCCACAAAAAACAAGTACCATGCACTATAAACAATTCATCCAACAATAAAACGTTTACTTGCCCGTCATGATATTCATTTGCCCTGGGCAAGTGTTAAGTTACACCTCTGAACTACTTACTTAACTTATTTGGAATGGATTACATTTTCCACGTTGATTTCAAACGATTGTTTTACGTGCACTCAAGCAAATTGGGGAAGTGTCTATTAATAATATAATCTTTACTTTTATACTGAAATATCGAAAATACTAAATATATTTTAATATATAATGGACATAACGGTCATGTTGTAAATTGATTGCATTTGCCTGCCATTAAACGTACAATGACTAGCGTAGCTAGTAATCTGCCAATTAGCAATTATCCTCGATAATTTGATGGCATCGTACTACCTGGATGCACATAATCTTCCCATTGATTTACGAATATCTTGCATCACAGCTCTGTTAGTTAGTGCATAAATTATAGGATTAGCTAACGCGTTTGTGTACACCAAAAATGTTGCTACGTTATAAAGCGTCATTGTCCGACAATTTCCGACAAAACACAAGTGCGCTATGACGTATGGCATCCAGAGAACGAGAAACGAAACTAGCAGTATCGTGCCAGTCCGTGCGATCTTGTACTCGTGTCGAATGGCACGTTGTTTCTTCATACGATTCACCAAAACATTTATGGCCTTGCGCGAACGAGATACTGGGAAAATACTAGACGACCTTTTTCCTTCTTCCTTTACCTCTGTTTTCGACGGACTAACGTTTGTGGGATTTTGAAATGAAACTTGTTTGTTGTTAGCTGTTTGGGTCCCTTTTCTGTCAAATACATCGGAAGTGTTGTCTGTAGAAGTAGTAGGTAATGCCAAAGAAACTTTTCCTTGTGGATTTATTCCGGGAATAACCGCTCCTTTTACACTGCATTCTGGAACAGAATATACTTTGTCTATGCCGGCCACGTATCTGCTGTCCAGCTTTTTATCTGCCATATTTAAGCTGAAGTTGTTAACCGCACCATCTACACTCAGATTTGATAGGCTTGTGCTTGCATCATCTTTTTCGCGAACTTGTAGTCCCAAGGATTTCTGCTCTGTGCCAATCATATCCATGCATGTAATGCCAGTCTTATTCGCATCGTGCATGTTTGAGGCGCCTTGATTTTCCAGATATGCACCGACAGTAGCTACGCTGTCATCACCTAAACCTTTATCTTCGGTATCATTTACTGTCGAGTTTACTTTTGGCAAATGTTCATCCGATGAGGAAGTCTGTAATTGCTTACTAGACGAACCAATCTCTGAACCATTTTGCACAATGTTTTCTTTTGAATCTTCGAAAATTTTACAGTCTATCGGTTTGGCTGTTGTATGCTTTGTAGTTAAGTCTTTCTCTTCTAAATGGTCACTAGACGAACACACTCCTACAGCGTTTTTAACAAACTTTTCTTTTGATCGTCCAGTAGTTTTACGAGCTGTCACTTCTGCTGTAGTTTGCTGTATTGTTGAATCTTTCTGTACTAAATTTTCAAGGGAGGCACCGGGTTGTAAATCATACTTCAGGTTGGCATTCTTTGCATCCACTAAGATTTTATGAGCTGCCAGTCTTATGTCGTCATCACCAGAAGGATCTGTACTAGTATCTTCAAAATTGCCCAAACTATTGCTGTCTTCGTCTCGCGTATCCGTTGAACTCATTGTGGATGTGGAACTCTTGCTCATATGAACTCTCTTACGTTTGAGTGTTAAGAAGATGCGTGTATAAGTAACAAGCATACCTAGGATAGGCAGTACAAACGCGATGGTTGTCATGGCAGCCGCATAAGCACAACTGTTTGACCATGATGGTGAACAGTGGTTTGTCCCAGGGTGGTACTTGTACCTTGCATTGGTAAGTATTGGTATGACTGCTAACAGAAATGATAGGAAATAGACCACGACCAGCATGCGATATGCAGTACGCCGAGTCATAATTGTGCGGTGTTGTAAGGATTTAACCACAGCCAGATAACGATCTACTGTTAGACATACCAAGGTAAAGATTAGGTTCATACAGAGAAATACGTTGGAAAATCCATTGAACTATAAAAACAAAAGGCAATATCGTCGATTAGTGTTCGGGTTTAAGTAAAATTAGATGTTAAGACAGAAAGAGAAAGGAAAGAGGAAAAGGAACGGTTGCTATAATTATAATTATAAAAATAACAATAATGATTTATTAGCGATTCCAAATTGAACTGGCTCTTCTATCACTAAATTAACTAATCTACATTAACAAGTACTATATTTACAATAAGTGGCTGTGAAGAGTTAATACATCTATACAGTACATTCACACAAGTCACAGTACATATTTCACAAAACAGATAATAACAAAACATGGTCAATCATACCCCGGCCCAAGCCTTTCGTGGGCTAAGTCTGTGAGATATACTTTCATACTTGTTGAAATCTTTGCAATTTCGCAAACAATCTGGCAGAAAGTTAGGCCTTTTTCAAACGTCGCGCTTCTCATGTGCCGAATGCATTAAAAACAATAGATAATGAGGCATTTCATCTGCATATTATCTATCATAAGTTCTTTGTAGGTTTACATGGCGATAAATCTGCTTCACAATAATAAATTTACGTGGTGTTTCCACAAGTATTATATGATTATCTAATGCGTTCGGCACATGAGAAGCGCGACGTTTGAAACAGGCCTTAGCTGCAGCACTGTCCTGAAATGAATTGCTACATTAATGAAGTTTAAATAATTTTGTGCCTGATTGTATATTCGCTTGGCAAAGTCTAGTTAATTTAAATATGACTTCCTGGATAGATCGACGCAAATTTCTGGCCATTCTGGGTAGACATTTACTACCAAAAATGGTGTTATTTTAGTGTAACCAAGGAATTTTAAACAGACTGTTTTAGGAGAGTACTTACCTGACAAAATCCGTTGCCAAATACCCATCCCTGTTCAATAATTGCATGGATATTAAACGGTATTTGCGACACCATGAGGGCGCTGACCAAAGTTAAATTGAGAAGAAATATTGTCACCACATTACGATGTTGTCGTTTTCGTTTTAATAACACTATAAATGTCTTCAGATTGAGCACAAGAGCAGCGACAAGAATGATGCTCAAAAACAACGCTTTAACCACCCTGGAACTTAATGGTTCACTCCTCAATGGAATTGTGCAATTCATCGATATATTCGTTCGATTTGAGGTTCTGAGTTCACTTCCTTAAACTAGAATCACCTTCGCAAGGAGAAAGTCGATAATTGTACGCGACCACGGATTGTCACTTGTACCGAATGTTGTGCATGTTAAATGTATTCATGCAGTACCCTTCTTCATTATTCATTGCAATTTGAGGAAAACGCATTGTGTTGCAAGCTAGCATTAATCACGATGTTTACTTCCCATGTTTGCTCGCTGTTAAAATGTCGCAGATCTTTGTTTGCTGTCCTAAACCACCCAATGTTCATTTCCCTTGATGTGTATCCAGCTTGGGCTGTTAATGAAATGAACATTTAATATTAATGCACCATTCTCACGGTAATCTAATGGAAGAAATACATTAGTCAGCTTAATTTAATTTTAAACTGTGCATGCCAATATGTTGTCAAGTTTTTTCAAAAACAGAAATTCAGAAAACACTCCATGACTAAGCATTGTTTTTGCACAACTCGTGAGAAATGTAAATTGTGCTGAAATATTGATCAACTAATGCCCACCTTTCACCTCCCTTAATTTAAGAGATTGTTTAATTTGGCACAAGAAGTACAAACATTTGCTGCTCTGTAGACTGTAGTTCAAGCTCGATTCAGCGTTTTTCAGAGCTTCACGCAATATTTCATGTCCAAAGTGATGACTAGACCGGTCGTCTTGCGTGACCGATCAGTTTATTTCAGGCGAAGCCAAGTGCTGACTTAACTGTGGTGGGACTTTGGTGGGACATTGGAGGGTGGTGGGACATTGGAGCCTGCAAAGCAGGTGTTTTATTTCAGGCAGAACCGCACGTGCAACTTAAATGCCTGCTTCGCAGGCTATCTTAAATCGAGGTTTTGAGATGGCATGCTTTGGATTGGTAGGGATGAAAATACAAGGAAAATTTCTTCTAATTTCTTCTTCTAAGTTCTTCTTGTGTTTGTAGGTAGTTGTATTCCTATCAATCCGAATCTTTCTTATTATTGCCACACCTACACAGGCACAGACCCGGTTTTGAAATGACATGTCGTTCTCTCAAATCATTACTGAATGTGTAACGAGTTAATTCCGTTCCTATATATTCTGAGCCAGTACTAGTCTTTCAAATGACTCGTACAATTTATGGGCTGTTAATATGGTTGTAGATTAACATTTTATTTTTATGATACAGCATATTTATGTTTATATTTTATTTATACTTTAATCCACCATGACTAAAAGATGACAGTATGTTTGCCTACAAAAGCTTCAAGGGTTATGATAAACACGTCCATCATCTTTTTATCATATTGAACTAACTGTTCACTTTCTCTTGGCATATATATATATATATATATATATATATATATATATATATGTACTATTTACAACATGAGCGGCCGTGTTGTATCGGATATACAAACTCGAGCCGAAGGCGAGAGTTTGTATATCCGATACAACACGGACGCGAATGTTGTAAATGACTTAAAAAACGACTCATCTTATGAGTTCATTGGCGAAGTAATTTTAAAAATAAACGTTGTCTAAGCCGAGAAAATCAAAGTTAAAGTTTATGTAAATCAACATGAATCTGTATCACATATACAGATACGACACGCTTATGATTTTTCTTTGTGTTTTCGTCATGAATTATTAATGAGTTTTTTAAATATATATATATATATATATATATATATATATATATATATATATATATATTTATATATATATATATATATATATATATATATATATATATATATATAGCTTAAGATTTTGGTTTACGAAACACAAACAGTGCTCAATACCATATAGATAGAGCGTAATATAGTTTTTCGTTTTACCTCAAAAAACCACAACAGTCTGTTTCATCCGTATAGGAATCATCAGGTGGTTCCACAACAGTCTGTTTCAACGGATGAAACAGACTGTTGTGGTTTTTTGAGGTAAAACGAAAAACTATATATATATATATATATATATATATATATATATATATATATATATATATATATATATATATATATATATATATATATATATATATATATATATATATATATATATATATATATATATATATATATATATATATATATATATACATGCTCATGGCTCCATGTACAAGCATTCCTATGACCTTCCCTATACATAATTTTTGCCCACTGAACAGAACCGTGAACGCTACCCGAACGAAACTACGATTGAATTATCGATTGAAACAATGTATTTCATAAATCACTGGTTACTCTCTTAATTTCAACGACTGGAAATAAGATGACACGTACTGGACCTCCAGTGAGATTTGTATGTATCTGGAGGCCAAAATGTGAAGTCAAAAATGGTGGAATACACCTTATGCATAATGACGTCACAAGGCTTGATGCCCGCGAGGAATGCTGGTCTTAGTAGTCATCGCCCGGGAAAATTAAATAATTCAAAATGGCCACTATCGAAATTTTCCCAGACGATGACTCCTATTAAGACCACCATTTCTCGCGGCCATCAAGGCTTGTGACGTCATTATGCATGAAGTCTATTAGCCTTTCACACGCCGCCATTTTTTGGGTACTGCCTTTTCCGAATCTGAGATTGTGCGCAGTGAATAAGGGATTTGATTTTGTATAATAAAAATTGTGAGTGTAATCATTATGAGTTAATTTACAGTTAAATATGTGAAAAAATGTTTTCACATCGCTCAGATTTATCACGTCGTTTCCAAAAAAGTACCCCCAAAATGGCGAATTTGGTCTTCGCGAGAAAGGCTAATTGACGTTAGTTTAGTTTTGGTAGCGTTCTAGGTTTCTTCATTCCAATGCTGAGACGCTACACCTGAACACTTGGTCCTCGTTTGTTATCATGATTGATACTATACATTTTCGTGATCCCATTCACAGCCAGATATACCGATTGTTGCTCAGGCTTTGTGGGCATACTATCCTTCCTCATTTGTGTGCTACTACACCTCCTCGGAGATCCTTCATATTTCTTATTGCCACAGCAACCTTGTACACACACGGCAAAACCAGCGCGCATTTCTTTACAAAGTACATATAGTATTATAGGATTCGCACAATGCTGTAGAAACAGTAAATGTAGCACGATGAATAAGGATATCACGTATTCAGATGTTGTTAACTTTAAAACTTTTAACTCCAGTAGCAATCCAAAGACCGTCAAGGGTAAAACTGTCAACCAAAATACCAACACAATTACAATCATAAGTTTCACCGTTTTGGCATTCTTCTCCAATTGGCGCCTCAACGCTTTTTCCTGCGTGGCCGCTCCTTGCCCTTGGGCTCTCTTTTTAATCCTCCCTCGCTGTCTAAACATGGCAACCCCAACGCCTAGATACGCCAAAGCTGTCGTGAATACTGATAAAAACACAAATCCAGATAGTACTAGAATTGAAATTTTCCGACCCTTCGGTGGCCACTTGGTCATGCAAACATTATAACCATTTGGATGCCTGTCCACTTTCATTACAAAACCCATAGGTAACGGTACTAATAAGTAATCGACCAGCCATATTAATGCAATGATAAGCTTGACTTTGTATATGGAAATATGAGGTTTAAATGGGTGAGCTATATGGATATACCGATCTATCGCGATCGCAGTTAGAGTGATGAAGGACACATGTAGGAATAGATCTTTTAGGGGATTTAGGAATCGGCAACCAATTTCACCGAAAGGCCAGTCTGTAACCTGCCCTATCACCGCCATTGGCACCGAGATGCACAATGCGCCCATATCAGCCACAGCGAGATTAGCGATGAAATAGTTACTCGAGGAACGCAATCTTTTCGTGGTACATATGGTTGTGATGACCATCACGTTTCCCCAGATGCCTAGCACCCACACAAATGAAAATATACTGAAACGTGCAACTTGAAGTTGATCCAAAAGTCTCATGAATTCATTGTTCGAAGGGGCAACAAGGGATGTGTTGTTGCCTGAAGACATTGTGAACTTCGACTCTTGTTCTAGGAAAAAGGGAAAAACTATAACTATTAGTACAAATTCTCATCTGTTTCTGTGTTACATTTCGACAGATTACTAACTTTTTTGCCTAACTCATTTTTTTGGCATTTTCAAAAACCTCAAAACTTTTTGTTGAAATTTGTTGGAAAATGAAATTTTAAAGTTGTGTCAAAATCTTTGAAAATTGGATCGCGTTGTGTTTAAATTAATTACTTTACCAAGCAAATATTTTTTATGTATAACTTGAAAGATATAGCTTCCCACATCTCTTCCAATGGATTTTAGAACCTTTTATAAACACTATAGATAATGAATGAGACTTGTGGCAGCCATCTTGGTGTGATCTCATTAGTTATTCACGGGTAGATGATAACCAGAAAATGAAATCCCACAGTAGATTTGTGGTTGTCACAACCAATATATGGCTACCATTGACTTCATTTATGCAGCATAGCGGATGCTTATTCCAGTGCTAGTGGAAACTAATCTATCATCTATTTGTTTTTGTTAAGCGTTACCTAATTGCTGCCCCCAAGTTGTTTTTCCTGTAATGCCCAGACAATATAAACAGCATGTGTTTTTACGATATACGATATTTATTTATCTTGTTTGAACAGTACAAATTCCTTTATACATTTACTGAGTTCATGGTAAAAGACGTTCAGGGTTCAGACATAGACTCGTATGAGAATATACTGCGCATTTTCTGAATGAAAATTTAATCAGTATAACTCGTTGTTTAATTATAGAAAGTCGAGGCTAATTAGGGACCGGTACAGATATCCTCAATTTCTGGTATTTTTAGCGATTCCATATGCCATAAGCCAATGTCATTGCGGCAATGTAGAATCTCGACTGCGCATCAAAAATGCAAGTACCAAAATTTTGACAATTCTGATTGTGGCTATGCATATATTTAAAGCTTCCAGTCTGCAAGTTATCCTGAAGACGCGTCATTTGAACGCGCAGTCCAGACCCTGAATTGGCTTGTACAGTCAGGCGCAGTTTTTATTTTGTTCTGTTAAAAATTTCCACGTAGGTTACCGCGTTTAAGTTTGTTCCTTTCTATACATATAGTAAGTTCAGAGGCAATTAAACTAATTTTTATGCAATTACTTATGCAAAATTGATGACGCGATCGTGGTTAGCTATTCTCAATGCTGTCCCAATATCATGAGTATTCTATTTAAGTTGAAACATAGTTGGAACAGTCATCAAACCTTTACTGTTTAGTTAATCTACAGGGTGTATCAAAATAAACGCAATTCATCTTTTGTGCTTAATAACTTTCGAAATACTATTTCTAGTTAAACGCTTTTAGGCTTACTTCAAAGCCTGTTCTTTTCTCTTTCCAACAAACTATTATCATTGTCTCCAATGCTAGTAATGATTGCACAGGAAAAGATTTAGTAAAACCTATCATTTTTAGTTGCTGTTTAATTATGCAAGTTTACTATGTTATTGTTTAGTCGGTTTAAATGTTAGAATTTTCTTCTTTAAACTTTAATGTTGTCGTCACTACATCTGGAAAACCACGTAAGAACAAATTAAAAGTATTTAAAAAGAGACCAGGTTGTTTGAAAATCCTAAACGAATGCTAAAATCGTCAAAACATTCTGGTGTCTGAGCCAGACTGTCATCGAATTGCGATGTTATTAATGTAAACAGAAATTATAGCAAGTTGATGTCAGTCAGCTTAGATGGTCCAAGCCAAAATTATATCGCATTTGAAGTTTCAATCTGAGTTAAAAATAGTGGAAGAAAAGCCGTAATTATACTTGTTACAATCCATTTAATAAAATGCAACATTTGTTTGTTTTAATGAAAAAATCAGTTATTTTCATGAGAATGATTTGTTATTCCATCTCAATTTTTTTAATCTCCAATCGCAATAACGTAAAGTATTATTACCCGCGAACCAATGAGTCAAATTTAAGAAACAACCCACTGTTAGAAAGCTGAATTGCTACCCTTTAAAATGAATGTAAACTTTAACGTTTTGGTCTATTATTTGTTTAGCAATTTACATTTCAGTCGAGGATTGCGCTTTTTTTGATACACCCTGTAGAGCTTGAAATGTCCGCTGTAACAATGCGTGACAGCCAACACTCATCCTCGTTTGACCGGGGCTTTATATGGTGTTTCTATAACTATGAACTATAACTTATTGGAATGTCAAGGATATAGCTCTATATCCAGGCCTGGCCGTAAATATTTGGGCAAGCGCGCGCCATATTAACGTCAGGCGCGCGATTAAAAAAAACGGTAAAAATTATGCTTATGCCTTATTGGCTATACAGCCACTAGAATAACATTCACAAAACTGAGTGAAAATTTATGTAGAACAAAACAATTTTAACATTGGAGTTTAGACGAAATTAGTATAGGTACTATATAAAATGTTTGTACCAGTGTGTATTGTTTTTACGATATTTACAAAGTCATCGTACTTTAAACGTCAATGAAAATGTCAACATCGCTGTCCTCTGACTCGCTTTCCGACGAGCTTGACGAATCATCGTTATCGTCAATGGTTATGGCGGCGTCCGGCAAATATTCATTTAGAATAAAAAAACCAGACGCGCGATTTCGTACTCTTAAAACAAACGAGGCGCGCGTTAAGAATCTTACATAGTACTAACAACAATTTAATATGTAAATAATTATATACTAGTTGTATTTGTAAATGTATCGTAATTATTGTTAACTGTAATGTAATGCATTACTATAATTTGTATTAATTGTAATTTTTTAACTATTTAAATCTACGCCCCCCTTGGAAATCAGCTTTCGCTGTAGGGGTTAGCGTAGTCAAATAAAGTTTTACCTACCTACCCTACCTACTGTCTCGAGGAGTCTAGGCGCGTGCGGAGGCGCGCGCCTCAAACGTCCAGGCCTGTAATATCTGTTCCTAACTGTTCTTCCTAGAAGTCCAGAAGGGCCATCTGTAGTGGTCCCACTGTTGCTACTGTTTAGGCTTCATGTCACATAGGGAGGTTTTGCAGAATACGTGCCGATCATACTGAAATATATGAAAATATGCATAATTCCTAGATTAAGTTGGACGATAATTCTATGATAAATAATTTATGCATAGACTAGAAGGAAAATCGCTAAATTTACTTCCGGCCTAAGTCTATAGCAAGAACATTCCTTACAAAAAGGGAAATGAATTTGCATATATTACTTTCAAGGAAGAACACGTCAAAATCAATGTGTAGGCATTGTTATAGATTTGCCCTTGACTGATAATACCTATATATACTGGCATCTAAGTTCTATATATTTTTATTATTCTCCATATATATTATTACTATATCGGTAACTAGATATATCATAACGCGCAATTGATTTTCTCGTAAATACTCAGAAAATCAATGTAAGTAGACTCTTTTGCATTACACTGTACAAATTTCTTGCCTCTTCAAACATAACATTTTAATCTCGACTTCAATTTCATTAGTTCGATATTAGCATAACTTTGCACTATCTAATCAGCGCGGTTGCACGTTAATTAAACTGCCGAACGAGTGAACACGTACAAAATATCTATATCAAATATTCATAAAGTTTAGGACGATACAGTTAAATTGCTTAGGATTTTGTTTAAGCTAACGTATTGACAATAATCTCATGTAACTTCGTGCTAATGGATAGAGCATGCGCGACTGAACATTTCTCATGACTATTTAAGTCGCCGGTCAAACGAGAATGTGAATTGCATTTCCGCGCTGGACTGCTAACTCTCATGCACTCTCGTTAACTTTCAAGCTGGTTCAATGTTTTAGTTATGATGGTTGATACGCGCATGGTAACAATGCAACTGGCATGTTCGCAACTTTTAGTTATTTATAAGCAACATATAGACAGGCGCGGGCCCAATTCTGCTAAGGCCTGGTTTAAATGAACTCCTGTTTTCGTTTCACCCGCTATAGTTGCGTCTTCAGAAAAATCCGCTTCGCTCGGCCAAATTTTATCAACTCTCGTCCTCGCTTTATCAAGGCTTTATAGGATTTTACAGTCTCTATAATTTCTTGCTGCTTTCTCTATGCTAACATTTCGACTCCTCTCATGTGAATTATATAGTGTTAATAATTATATAGATAGGGCGCACTCACAGACAAGGAATTTTTGTTTAAAAAACTTGTACAAAAAGATATCATTCATGCTTTCTACTCAATTTAAGATTACGAAAATACAATGAACTGAAAGAACAGTGATATACGTGGTTATCAAGAGAGCTAGTATAAATTTAGTAGTTAGACATGACACTCTCTCGACTCTCAAGTGAGGCGGCCCATTTGGAAACATACTCAAAGTTGAGAGGCGACTGTGCCCTTTATGTTGAAACTGAGCAAATTCGAACATAGATTTACATAGTTAACCATGGGTATTCCCGTACGAAGAACTGAAACCAGATCACTGCATGCATAGTATAAAGTACTTTTCATAAATCAAATGTTTAATCACTAAGCATACTCACAGAAAATGTTATATCCAGTCTTTAAACTTTACCAGACAACATTGATGGCGCTAATGCTTCTTGAGTAGAATGCGCTTCGATATAATAGAACAGTCAGTCGCGCGTTAAACACATTTGCTTGTATCACGCAAAATCAGACACGCATTCCAGTTGATCCACTGTTAATAGACTGCGTACACAGACTGTTTAGCAGTTAACGCGGTGGTTCCGAGTCTTAAGTAAACTAAAATTAATTAAAAATACCTAACAGATGCGTGCAGTGATTACAGGCACTTCGTATAGGCTACTGAGTGATCGCATCGGCAGATACGACCTTATCGCACGCGACATCCTATCTTTGTTGAGTAAAACAACGAAAATATGACAAAAAAAGTCTATCTGAAGATGAACGACAATGAAATGACATTTTAAAAGATACATAAATTTTTGAAATTTTTACACTTGTCCGAGACGAAATGGAGTCAAGATAGAATGACAGTCGAGAAATATCCAGAAAAAA